CCCATTCCACAAAACCACTGGTGAAAGGTACACATGATGGGTTTTAACTGCAGGAAAGGATATTTGGAATTATGCTACTGATGGATTTTGTTTGCAGGAAAGGATATTTAGAATTATGCTATTGATCACATCTAATGACTGTTCTAATATTTGCCGTGAATTTCCCTGACCCTAGTGGTCTTCTGTAAGGTGCTAAAGACCAGGTTTTCTCCTTAAGCATTGGGACTGGAAACACTGTTGGTTGGTTTGCCTGCTGCTTGTCTCTTTGCTATTGATTTGTAAGATGGAAGGATTTAGCTGGCCCTCTGGGACACGATAGATTAATTGTTGCCGTAGCTTCTTTCTTTTTTTAAAAAAACAAACAAACGTTGGATTCTTTACGCTTTTTATGCTCTTAATTCATTGTTAGCTGCTAAGTCCCAGTGGCGAGGCGGGCAGCCATACACATTGTTTAAGTAAACATACAAACAAACAAACAATTATTTGCTTCCTCTTGAAATCCTCCAAGCAAAGCCCTGTGAATATCCTAAAGCTTATAGTATGTTTAATAACCTTCACACTTACACTACGATGATGCTATTTTGGAGTTCTCAATCAAGATAAGCTTCAAATGCCGCTCAACTAGGCTGACAAAACCAGGTTCCGTCATTTTCTTTCCCCACAATACACTCACCATGGATGAGCAGAGAGGACTTTGCGGATGAAAAGCGCAGCACTCTGGGAGACGTTGGGGTAGAGCTTGAAGGCATCATAACGCCCTGCAAGGATCCTGCTCTCTATCTCCAAGGTATCTGCTTCAAAGAACGGTGAGCGGCCACTGAGCCTGATGGGAACAATTGAGAATGGGAGCAATGGACAACATAAATGATCCACTTGTCTATGGAGCTAACATTCCACAGTGAGGTACCACTGTGTGATTAGAGGTTTCTGTAAGACGCTGGTGCCTTTAAAACTTTACAGAGCCTGTTATTGCCCAGGTCAGCTGAGGATCAAGGAAACAGAACTATAGGCTCCAATTTGGTATACTTTTATTGCAGGAAATTAATCAGAGTTAAGATCTTTAATTCTACTTGACGCACTCAACTTCCTGCCATCACTCATCTCATTTCCATACTTACATAATATACGTGAGCACTCCGATGCCCCAGATGTCAGCTGCTGAGCCAACGGGATCCCCCTTCACCATTTCTGGAGCTGCAAAGAAAAGAAAGGACTATACTTCTTTCTTCTTTGCAGATGACATGCAAGGCCAAATTCCATATTGTGCCCAGAAGGGCTTCCACTTAATATACCGAAGAAACCCGTGAGAGGCAGGGAGGGAGGGAGGCCACGGAGGGAGGGAGGGAGAGAGAGAGAGAGAGGGAGAG